CTTTTATATATACAGTATATAAAAGACCTGGAAGGTGAAGGCCACAGTGGTGCCTGTGGTCATCGGGGCCCTCGGGGCAGTCACCCCCAAACTGGAGCAGTGGCTAAAACAGATCCCAGGAACAACATCAGACATCTCAGTCCAGAAATGTGCAGTTCTAGGCACAGCTAAGATACTGCGCAGAACCCTCAAGCTCCCAGGCCTCTGGTAGAGGACCCGAGCTCAGAGGATGAAAGAGACCACCCGCGGAGGGTGAGAAGGGAATTTTTTTTAAATATATATACATACATACAGTATAGATACTTTTTTACAGGAAACAAACTTGTAGTTTTCAACATAAAAAGAGACATTATTCACGTTATTTCATTTTGCTCCTAAATTCAGATCTCACACATTTTTTGTTTGGTTTTTCAATTTATTGCTTTTCAGGAAACACTCACACACACAGATGCATCTTTAAAAATGTGTATTTATGGCAAACATCAAAGTAATAAGTATCACTGGTTCTTAGTGTTACACCAAACAGAGCTGATAACGTGTTAAAACAATGTAACAATGAGGTCAACAATGACTGGGGGAAATCAGCAGGGTCACCACTTCAGTGTTCGAGAAAATGATCCTAAGAAATAAACAAACAATAAGTTCAATAAGCCACATATTATATTTAAGACATACAGTACAAGCATGGATACATTTGTTGGTACCCTTCCACAATCATAATAAAAACAAAACAAAACACATCAGACCAACTACAGTTTATATACCGACATAACAGATCCACAGAGAACACAGTGAACATGGGACTCCATGTCACCGTACAACATCTCGAACAGGAAAGAAAATATGCAAGGATCCTGTTCTTGGACCACTGCTCAGTCTTTAAAACCATCATCCCAGGACATCAAACTGACCCAGCTGAGGGTGCCAACACCCATCAGTGGATCACCAACTTACTCACTGGTAGAGAGCAGCAGGTGAGGCTCAACAAACTCACCTCAGGAACCTGGATCACCAAAACAGGTGCCCCGCAGTGTTGTGTACTCGCCCCATTGCTCTTCTCCTTGTACTCAAACGTCTTCTGTCAAAATCATAAAGTTTGCAGATGACACCACCATCAATGGCCTCATTCATAACAATGATGCGTCAGCTTACAGATGGGTGGTCAACCAGGTGGCGCACTGGAGCAAACTCACCAACCTTGAGGTGAACACAGCTAAAACAGTGGAGATGATAGTGGACCATAGGAGAAGCCCCCCAACTCTGCTACCACACACCATTTCTGACAGACAAGTGATGACTGTGAAGTTCAGTAAATTCCTGGGCACAATAATCTCCAGGAGCCTAAAGTGAGACAACAATATCAGCTCAATAATAAAACGAGCTCAGCAGAGAATGTACTTCTTGAGTCAGCTGAGGGAGTTCAACCAGCCTCAGGAGCTTATGGTGCATTTCTACACAGCTGTCGTTGAGTCTGTCATTACCGCATTCATCAAGGTGTAGGGCAGCTCAGCCACCAAAAAGGACATTCACAAATTTCAGCGCATCATCAGGTCTGCTGAGAAGACCATTGGTGTTGAGCTGCCCACACTGCTGGATTTTCACAGCTCCAGAATCAGGAAGTTCATGAAAATAATTTCAAATTCCCACAATCTGGTCACCATCTCTTCTGGCACCTTCCCTCAGACCGACGTTTTAGCCAAATGAGGATTGGGCAACCAGGCTAGAGAAGCTTCTTCCCACTTACTATCATTCTCCTGAACAAATCACATTATTACACTTTTTCCTCATCTTCTCTCTTCTTTTATGTCATTAACTGCTGTACTCAGTATGCACAATGTTAAGTCTATGGTCCCACAAGTAGGACTATGTGTGTGTGTGTGTGGGGGGGGGGGGGGGGGGGGGGGGGGGGGGGGGGAGGGTTAGTGCTTTTTACTCTCTACTGCTGTGTATTTGTTGTTTTCATGTGCACTGTTGTGAGCTACCAGAACCAAAAACAAATTCCTTGTGTGCGTGAGCGTGCATGGCCAATAAAGCTTGATTCTGATCTAATGTCAGTGACCAAAAAGCTCTGGTTTTATGTCATCAGTCTCAACTTGCCTTTGAAAAAATGCCTGTCTGGCTTTTTTGTTTTTTCCTGTCAGTAGTAGAACACATCCTGGGCCTTTTTACGTAAACCCGTATGATTCAAAGTTTGTTTGATGGTTCAATCAAAAAGTGATATACCGCGACCTTGGGGTTCCGCTTGAATGGTTTTGGATGGTTTCCTCATCAACCAACCGCACTTTTTGTCTGATCAACCTGGGGTTGCATTTCTTCTTGTATCCACATCCTGGGATTTTGGCTACAGTTCCCTAAATCTTATACTTTTTATTAATATTAGCAGCTGTTTGGAGATTGTTTTGTGATTTTGTTTTGGAGCCAAAATGACTAAAAATAGATCAGCTGTGACAATGTCCATGGAAGAGCCATTTGGGATCTAGAAGTTGGACAATGGCTGTGTCCAGGAGACCAAATCTGTGACCATAAGAAAGTGGTTGTGGGTTTGGACAGTCTAGCCTTCAATACAAGAAGAACTAAGGGACCCACCATACTAGTTTGTCTACCATAGTTTCTGACAAGAATTATGAAACATGTCAATGAAAATGACAAAAGCCTATCTGTTTAAGCCCCCAGTGTCCAAAGTCAGTCCTCAAGAGCCGGTGTCCTGCATGTTTTAGGTGCTGCCCTGGTTCAACACAGCTGAACCTAAGTAGTGCTAAATTAGTCGGCCTCTTCAGTACGTCAGCAAGGTCTGCAGAAGCCTTCTAATTTGACACTACTTAGGGCCGGCTGTGTTGAACCAGGGCAGCACCTAAAACATGCAGGACACCGGCCCTTTATTTAAAACTGTATTCCTGTCTCTTGTTTTGTCCGCATTTGCAAGCAAAAAAACCTCCCGGTTGGCTCTCAGTGCATTTTGGGATAGGGTGGGCTATGTAGAATACATTGAACCCATCCCTCAAAATCGGGAGGGGGGGAATTAGGGCTGCAATTGGAATAGCATTTGAATTTGGACAACTTTCATTGCTGTGACATAATCGGCCTTCAAAGGATGCAGCACTTGTATTTGGACACAGTCATCGTTGATTTACTGGAGCATATTTATGTACTTATGTAATTTGATCTATCACATACTAAAGGCTTGCAGTGAAAAATTTAGATGATTACTTTTAACTGAATCCCTTTTCATGAGAAATTAGGCATAGTTTCAATAAGCTGTAAGGGTACCAACAAATGTATCTGTACATATAAGAGAGAAAATGAGGATAAAACTTCTTTGTGTACCTTTGATGTCTGCCATTTTCCTGCGGGTTCGAGGCAAAGTGAGATCCAGTCTTGATACAGACTCTGGCGTTCTCAGCACTTCCTCTAATTTACACTGCTCCTCACATTCCTGTGAGGTGAAACAGTCATGTTAACAGCAACTTTCTTCATAATTTTTTGTAAAAAAATCAGTTTCAAAGCGTCTGCGACATGAACCTGTGATAGAGTTTGCAGACGTTTCGTCAAGCCAGCAGGAGTGTTGGGTCTGGGGCTTTCGACTCCACTCTTTTGCTTCTCTCGCTCTCTCTGAAGGAGGATGGCCTGTCGGGTGGACCTGTACTCCAATGAGAAGTTACTGATGGTTCTGCAGAAGTCCTCCGCTTTGGTGTCCTTCACCATGGCTCGGGAGTAACCCAGGAATAAGAGGAAAGAGTGGAACCTTCGGAAACAAAGATGGCAGAAGAAACAGAAAGCTTTTTTTTGGTATATGGGGATGGATAAAACCCATGTTTGGGCCTCATAAGTGGGCCCATTACTCTCCCCAAAGAGACACTGAGCTTTCAATCAAACCTTTGCGTCCTTAGGAAGAAGGACACCAGGTTAGAAACACTAAGTGTTCTGAGCTTCTCAGGATCCATAAAAGGTTCTCCAAGATTTCTTTTACTTTGACTGCTCAGGGCCAAGCATTGGCCCAAGTAGTGCAAAGAAGTCTCTAATTCAATGCCACAGGTATCACACAGACCATTTTCATGGAGTCCCATCACCATTTTATGGTGGTTGAGCAAGTTGTGCCTAGTTAGGACTCCAACCAGTGTACTTAAAGTTTTCCTTGTCAGGGCAAGAAGGGCTCTTCCAAACCAAGGATTTGGGACATTTATCAGTTCTTGTGCCTGTCTGCAATTCGTCAGCTCCCTCCAGCGGATTGAGTGTTGACATCTGATCCATGCCTGTAGGGCAGTCTTACAGATTGTATTTGAAATACCTATAGTAAGCTCTGGTCCTTTAAAGTGGGCTTGACTGCCAGCTCTTGCAAGGTAGTCAGCTCTCTCGTTACCATAGATGCCCTTATGTCCTGGTACCCATAGTAACACTGTTAACTCTCCCCAATTGGTTGATTGACTGCCTCGGCACACTCCCAAGCCAGTAGTGACGTAACGTGTGGCCCTTGGAGCGCTCTAATACAGTAGCAGCTTGGCTATCTGTCAGGATGAATATTTCCTTCTGCATACACTGAAGTTCTTTGAGAGATGCTGCACACTGGTGGATTGCATATATCTCAGCTTGAGATACCTTTACAAGACTACCTAATGGGTAACTGTACTCTCTACTGTACACTGAAAGCTAGAGAAGCTGTAGCATTTGGTAGATAATATGTCAAATATCTGCAGAGCACCTGTTGATGACTCGACGATGGACCGCTCTCAGGACCTTCAGCCTCTCCTCACACTCTTTCAGAAGCTTTGGTAGCCTGTGACGGAGTGAACCCTTTGGAGAAAAGGACTCATCACTATTGTCTTTTCCTTTCTTCTTTTCTCCTTTCTTCTTTTCATCGCACCTCTCCAACACCTTCAGCTGCTCCCACGATGCTTTGCACATGGCTTCTAGCTGAGTGAAACTGGACTGGACCAGAGAGTAATCACACTGTAGAGACAAGAATGTGAGTGCCACAGCTAATTATACCTGCTACCTCTGCAACTTCTCATCATAAAAATTTTAGCTAAAAACTTTAAACAAAAATGAATTCTATAGTTCAAATATTAACCCTAGTTTTGCAGTATTTATAACATACAGTGGTTTGCAAAAGTATTCATACCCCTTGAACTTTTCCATATTTTGTCACATTACAACCACAAACATAAATATATTTCACTGGA